AATTTTATGTTTTATTCGTACAAAAAATGCGTTTTCGTGACACGGAAGGTTGCTGGACTCCACTAGCGCGTCGTCCAGCAACTATCTTCCTCGTCCCGAAAACTGACATTTTTTGTACTAATGAAACAATAGTTATTTGTGTACCAAGGCCGTAAAAGTGATCATTTTTGGCCGAAGCTGCTGTTTGTGGCCGAGGCGGTAGCCGAGGCCGCAATTCAGATGAGGCCTAACAAATTACTTTTGGCCAAGGTGCACACAACATTTTTTAGGCGATCATCAAAAAAGAATTCAAAAATTTGCTCATAAACATATTTTTCTGAAAATCATAGTTATCTTAGACAATTAAAAACAAAGCATTTCCTGTCATATGTAATAAATTATAATTAGCATCTTTCCGTGTGTTTTGTGCGTATCAAAATGGGTGATAGCGACAGTTCAGATACCTACCCAAAATGAAATTTTGGAAGCTGCAAGCGTTGCGACCCTATGTCATATATGATATAAGAGCAGGCGTTTGAGAGTAAAAGTACAATCGCAACTTCCTCCGCTGCACAAGATTTTAATAATGTCAAATGCAATACGTCCTTCGTAACTGTGGCTTCCAAGACCTTATAGTTAACATGCTGTACAATTATTAGAAACCTACTTTGATGGTAGGTATAGGTAGCTACTTGTGTTTTCGGTTAATTGCTGGTGATTCTTCGTATAATAATGTAAGCAACAACATCTTCCTCATGTTTTGGTTCTACACTTCAAAACGGTCTGCAAGCAGCAAACATTGAAACGTCAAACTATAATTTTAAATGTGTAACATTGTGATTATGCAAAATGGTGTGAAACATTCCTACAAGTCCGAAAATGAAAAAAACGCACGTGGATGGCCCAATCCTTGATGGGGCGAGACCAGATAGACGCTTTGTATCAAACAGATTACTGTTTCTCAAACATCAGTTTCAAATAAGTACAGTTTGACAGATGTGTACAATAAAGTAAAGTTTGACAGAAGCGTACAATAAAGTGAAACTTTATGGCCGCAAAAGCGACCATAAAATCAACATTTTTGTGATGATAGCCTAAAAATAACTATTTTGTGAAAGCGTTTCGAAATTGACACATTTTGATATTGATTAGAATTTCGAAATGACACTCTTTTAGGCACTAGTGCCTAAATGTGAAAGTTTTAGGCACTAGTGCCTAAAAATAAAAATGAAACATTAAAATCAATGAAAATATCTATTTATTATAAATATTAAATGTACAATTATGTACACTTTTGAACTGAATGCAATAAGGTTTGTAAATTTGCTAATATCTACGTTTTTGTTCAGATAAATCATGGTGTGGGGCATCGAATATTTGCTCCACAAAGTTGAAATAGGCTAGTAATACCTTTTCTGTAAAGTTCTCAGTATGTTTTTCTTTTGCCCAGGTTTCAAAGTTGTCGTAGGTGTTTTCGTATAAATGCTTCGATTTTTCGGGTACCTACTAACGTGGATAGCGCAGCTTCAGCAGCTTGTTCAATATCCAAAGACTCGTCAATATCACTCATTTGAAGTAATTTTTTCGCAAAACTTTGCGGGAAAGACGGAAACAAGCTACGTTCAACCTTAACGTCACACTTGACATTAAATAATGCATAAACAATGCCTTAGAAACAGATTGCCTACCTACTTTTCAAAATGTTTAAAAATACTAATAAAATTATCAAATTCTCCGCTTTCACAAAAAATCTTGTACATAATTCGTTACGAAACGATGTCTTTTAGTCACTAGACGTGTGGTCCAACTCGGCTTTGCCGTGTTGAACAATTTTCACGTCGCGTGCGTAAAAGACACTCATTTCGCAACTTATTGTATAAATAGCTATATTCATTTTCAATTTTCATTCATAGTGTGCTGTCAATTCGATCGGATGACGGATAGTTTATCCAGATTTCAGTGAGTTTTTGAGAAGTTTCGAGGTTATTTCACCGCAATCACGCCTTTTATATTAAAAGTATGATAGTTATTTATATTATCCATTTTGGGTAAGTGTTGATAGACTAAACACTTCTTCTATTTTCAGTTGAATTTTAGTTTTTTCAAGATGCTACTTATTAGATGTACCAACATGGTACCAACTTAGGTCGCAGAATTCAATATCCTACAAGTCATACTAATACGAGTAAGTCAAACTGATGAGCAAAGCAAAGCGCGAAACGAAGTTACCGGAATCGATATGAACAACGCAGGAATGCCCCCTTTAATCCCTATCGAGCTGCATTTAATTATAACGTAGCAATCGATTACAGTTTATAGTAAATCGTTGCTATTAGGCTTTTAAGTTTAACACTGAAGCCCCGGGAATATGTTGCGCCAGTGGCCAAGTGAAATTGACGCCATTGGTCCGCCACCAGAGCCAGTGCATTCCTTGGTTTCCGGAAATGGGCCAGATTCTATACATTTTTGACTCATATCCAGCAATACAATAATTACTTTCAAATTACGGAATTTGGCGCAACAAAAAAAGTATGTTGCTAGCTCTGAATCTCCAAAAGCAACTAAAAGTTAGTGCGTTTATTTTTTATTATTTTGGGGGTGATGGGGAGATTCTGGGGACGTGTGCCAAAATCTCTTTTCCGGCTAAACGGTTGAACCGATTTAAACCAAATTTGCTACACATATTCTAGAGGGCAGAATCGCGCATGCGCAGGTGGGGCGGGTGGTACCTGTGCTAGCCACAGCGAATTTCTTGAAACCATTTTTTGTTATTATTTATTCCAGTTCGAATTGGATAGATATTCATAGCTAAGAAAGAGGACAACGTCCGTCGGGCCAGCTAGTTGAATAATAAATCTGAATCTTTATTCAATGCTACTGTCATAGTCAAGTCCACAATAAATGGGATAATTATTAGTAATTATTAAAGTAAAAGTTTATTTCACGTCTTTGCCATGATAAGGTCGCTGATTTTCTTACCTCTGCCTCTGCGTTACATTAGCAAAGAATTACCATCAGAATGAAATAGGTTTTTGGCGTATTAATTGCATGTCCCGTTGCGGACTGTTGTCTAGGTTTTTTTGCGAGGTTTTTTCTCTCAGACTTTTTTTCTGAGACGTTCCACCCCTGTATACAGGGTGTAGCATCTAAGATCCCACGGATCATAATTCCTTTATTATAAAAGATACCGAAAAAAGTCTTAGAGCAAAATTATAGGCAATTACCGCCGGCATGTTTTTAAAATATTTTTGATCACCAGGGGCGTGCTGTATTCCAGTGGCGTATCAAACTTACGTTTGTTTAAATGGATTTGGAACGTACTTGAAAATACATATTTTTTTGTAACAGGTGATACCCCTAACTTTAACGATTTTACTGTTAGAATGTGGTTAAAACCTTTTTTCGTCAGAATTTGACAGATTTTCGGTAACGGTCTCTAAGAATAAACACATCAACTATTCCTGCTTGAGTTTGGAATATTTTTGCAACGTTGATTAAAAAACAATCATACAATGCCGAAACTTTACTGTTAATTGTCAGAATTGAACCTCTTTTGTTTCTTCATGGCACGGTTGGGTTCTGAAAACTTTTTACAAATTGGCGTTTCGACTTGGTTTTTCTCTGAAATTTTCTTATGGAACGTGCGGTTTTCTTTGTATCAATGGAAAATTTGTATTTTGGCTAACCAGAGGTATAATTTGTTTAGGGGGATGCGATTTGAAATTTTTTAAAAATATGACACATGGCGAAGGTCAATCAAAAACTTAATTTTTTTGATAAAGTACTAACAAAAATTATGTAACTGTAGAAGAGGTCTTAACTTACCTGTGCCTCAGTCCCCAACTTAACCGCTTGCGCGATTTAGTTTCTGTCAAAAATAATTTCGAAAAACTGTCAAATTTTGACGAAAAAAGGTTATGTTAAAGATATACAATGGTCAAAGTTAGGAGTATAACATGTTACATAAAAAAATAAGTATTTTTCAAGTACGTTCCAAATCGGTAATAAACTATGAGGTGTTCCCGAGGGTGTGATTAAAACCCATGGTGATCAAAAATATTTTAGAAATATGGCGACGGTAAATGTGTACAATTTTGATCTGAGACTTTTTTCCGTATCTATTATGGTAAAGGAATTTTGATCCGAGGGGTCTTCTAGGCGCTACCATTGTTTATAAAGTATTTAAACAATGGCGCTACATACCTAACCTACTATATTATGATGCACACATGTTTGAAACTTGAAAGATAACTTTTTATCCGAAAGAAGATTGCTTCACATTCTACTTTTCCAAAAAGCCATTGTGCTTTGCCGTTCGTTGCTTTTGACCTATCTCGAATAGTAATTTAGGAACGGCGCAGTTTTAAAAAATTGCCTAATTGATTTTTTCAACATATCTCACTTATTTTTAAACCTTCCCAGAAAACACAAGGAGTGTGGAAGTTATTCTATCTAATGTAAAATTCGAGTAGATATAAATAACATTTATTTTAAAATGTGAAGTATCTTAGCGTTGTTGTCGCGTTACTATTTGACGTAGGTCAAAACAAGGCAATTGGAAGTTTCTTGGAAAAATAGGGAGAGAATATGAAAACAGTTTCCCAATATTTCTACGAATAAAAAAGTTTTTCCTATCGAAAATTCCATTGAAATTGGCGTTAGGACATTCTCTAAACGAAATATATAGTAAATAAAAAAAACTTATAATGGCATCAAAATTCAATAATCACTAAGAGCAGCGACGACAAGCGTTTATTGGAAGTATAGAATATTGTGACTTCCTCCTGGAACACGCTCTACCTATTCACAAAGTGCAGGGAGTGGTTACATTACATTTACAACGTCCACTGTAGTTATATAGGTACTTAACTAAAACTACCCACGGAATTTTAACAGACGTCTGAGTTTATAGTCGCATAAATAGTGCGTCAGTGGGTTAAAAATAAACGCAAAATAAAATGAACAATGAACTTTGTGATATTCTTCTAAAACTACTCATACACTTAAGTATAGATACTTACTCTTATAAAAAAATAGACCATAAAAAATATGTTGAAGGCAAGGTCGATTTGTTGCGTGATGTTGCTGCTCCACTCTTGGCAGCGCTCCACTTTGTCACTAAAACAATACAATTAACACACTCGTTATTGATCTTCGTTGTTGAATACATTTCAAATGAAAAGTGTAGTGGTAGTAAGTACTTAGGTTGTACACAAATCCCCCCAAGGGAATTCCTCGACGGGGAGTTATGGCAAACTGCCATAATCTGACAAGAATTAAACTTTAGGATTGCATTGACGGAAGAGCATTTATAATTATAATATCACGATTTATTTGGGAATAAAGATAGAGTAGGTATGTTATAAAAATAAAACTGAACACTCAACCCCAACTCCATAGTTTTTTCAGTACAGGTTCAAGAAATTAGATCCAATTGGGTTTCTACCTCATAAGATATTAGAATTATGCTAAATATTGACAAAATAAGGCAAGGCACAACTAGGTATATTAATCTTAAGAATACAGTAGGTATTTCTTATAGTATTTCTTAATTTACCGTGCATTACACGTATTATTACAATGAAACCATTACACTCGCAGATTGAGATTTATGTCGGTAAAGTACTTTCGGGAATGATGTACATATATACTTGCCATAACTACTGTCATAAAGGGAGGGTTTTGTGCAATATGATATGTACTTTTGTATGTGAAATTAGAGGATGATAACAGCATAGTGTATTCTTTATAGTTTACACTATGATTACAGACATAAAACAAGATACCTACATAATGCGAGCATTTTCGTTTCGGTACATTATTGGATTACTGTGCTCGTGTTTAAATAAATAAGATAAGAAGATAAAAAAAACCACTTTATTTACCAAAGTTGTGCACCTAAATTCTCGACCTACCTAATTATTTATTCGAGGTCCTAATAATATTACAAATAAAACGGAAACCGGTAAAAAGGTTAAATACAATTAATTCTGGCTTTTGTTGGCTGTGAAAACCCATATAGGGTCATTTTGGACATTTCCATATTGCGGTACATTAGTAACTATTCGTCCATTCCTGTAAATAAACTAAATTGAAACTAATAAATTTCGACGAATCTAAAGCGTGGTTTGTTCTGCTTTCAAATTCGTTAACTATCTTTCGACATTCGCCAAAAATACATATCCATGAACAATAGCCTTATGCGATTGCAGTACATGACATGAATTAGGTACTTTCGAGATTTCTGGACATTACCAATAAATTCGGATAACATATGTAAATAGTAATTCACTTGTTTTTTAGCGTTCGATCACATTTGAACCTTCTCCTTCTGGAGCAAATAATATAGTGCGTATATTTTAACTCTAAACATACAAACCTCCTGCATATACATACATATAAAACTCATATGTTCAACTCTAAAATGCCCCCTAAATACATAGACTTAGGTAACATGTCTATGACTGAATAACGTAAAATAACGTTTTTTTGCGGCAAATAACCTGTTTGGCGTTTCTGATACATCACATGGCCGATTATCTGCATGAGTTATTAATTTAAGATTATATTATATCATTAACAAAATGTAAGTATGCGAAAGAGACTCGGAAAGAGAGAAAGTGGAAATGTTATGCTATGTTTTTCACATATGTCCGTATTGAATTCGCAGCAAATGAGTAAAATTCCAGTAACTGAAAAAACACTATAAAACCCTCAGAGTTATTAAGTATTCTTTGCTCAGAGCATTATTTCTTAACTCTAAGATAAAACCATTTTAAAGACATTTAATAAGTTGAATCTGCTAAACAAACCGGTCGAACAAGGTGGATTCATAACCACCTTGCGGTCGAATATGTTTCTAAAATAGTTACCAAGTTTGTTTTATTTGCAATGTTCTCAATTATTTGTGTACGGTGGGTTGCATAACTGTCAGTCATAATAACTGTCGAGCAAATAAACATTGCAGTGTAAAATTTTAGAGGAGTTTGATAATTTTATTGATATATGCAGGAGCATTGAATTTATAACTATCTATAAATTCAATGGCAGGAGGACAGATGTCCAGAGTTAAATTTACGCACTGTGTTTACAGAAGGAAAGAGTGAGGAGTGATAATAATGATCGTAAAGTGAAGCCCACATTTGTTTGTTATTTCACCGAAAACACCTGTAATTTATACCTGTGAAACGATATACTTTCGTGTGTTATGTTTTACTTCCGTGCACTACAATGTACCATGATTGTCCAATAATGTTTTTAATGGCACATTTCGAGACTTAGGGCCGCATAATCACGAAAATGAAAAATTAAACAAACTTTGGCTCCGAGAATATGGCCGCCCCAGGCTTCAACGCGCAGCATTGCCCTTGATAGGATATTATCAGTCTCCTTTCTTTTATAGTTTAAGGGTTTACCTAAAGTCACTAAATATAGAAAGTACCGCAATCCATTGGGCTCGTGTGTTAGAGAGAGAACGCATGATTTTTGCCCAAAAATGGCGGAAGTTACCAGATTCTAGTAACTTTAATGTTAGGGATTGGTCCACCTGTTTGGAGATATCTGTATATATTTTTATAAAACATGACAGTACTATGAAGATAGGTTATAAAAAATGACAGCTATTCAGATTTTATTTGTCAATTTTTTTAAGTTGGCAGGAAATTTGCCCAAAAATGGCGGATGATTGCGGTACTTTCTATATCTAGTGACTTTAGGTTTACCTATGCAACATACGAGTCAAAGACAAGCAATATTTGAATCAAGCCACTCACATCGTGATCAGATCAAGGTATCGTGAATCAAGCAAATAACATGCCGTATCGTACCTATATCCAGACACAGACGTAGAGAGACATACGCGGGTGCATAAATGGATTTACGCTCAGAGCGTGGCTCAGAGTAAGAAATAAAGATCGAGTACGCGTACGCTATAACAACGCGAACGTTTGTTTTAATCCAACATCTCAGATAATTTGACCTTTGAGAGGACGAAAGCAAACATTAGTCAGTGGCGTAGGGTTTATTTATCTTTATGGGCAACAAAGTTTATGTTTTGTTTACATGTGCAAACGTAATAACGTATCACTAAATATTTATGATCAAAAGCTGTATGTGTTTGAAAGGTATTGATCTATGATAAGGTATGGTGATACTTCAAAGTGGGAACTTAGAAGGAAATCTAAACACATTAAAATGCGATAATTCCCGTATGACTTCAAAACTTTTCTTGTTATGCCGTTTTTTTGTAAGTTAAAATTGTTTGGGTTACTGAACTCTTATAAGCATCTAAAAATCCATTTAGATTACTCCAGATGTATATGTTATTAATATTCCCTTAAAAACTATCTCGTGAAATGTGACAACTTAGCCTCCTGCAATGTTAGTAAACAAACGAGATGATGGCACGCATAGATAAGCATCAAGGCATCTCTATCTTTATTTCTTACTCTGAGGATTTACGCATGCAGATGCACGCGCGTGTCTTAAGAAAAGTCTCTACGTCTGTGTCTGGCTGACCTTTGAATATATACAGTGAATTTTTTTAAATGCGAACATAGGAGTTTGCATGTAATGTAGTAATTTCCCTATGTTCGATTTAAAAAAACACATAAATCTATTGAGTAGTTCAAATGAGTAGTAGATACAATTGACAGCGGTCACATTTTTAAAAATACCGTCGTCCAATTTAATTACGAAATCGGTTAGGTTATTGCTTAGAATGTCAAGGAGGACACTTCGAACATTTATTGTAATTGTTTTCGGTATTTATTTTCTTATTTTCTTCATTTATGTATTGAATAAATCAAATTAGTAGAATACCAGGTGCACATGACCTACAAATAATTCACAATGAGTTGTGGTGTCAGTGCGTGGCTTGTGAGGTCAAGTTATCGCAAGTTTAAGAAAAATGTATCCTAAAGTTGCCATGGCCTCACATGGCTTCTTTAAAAAAATCTTACCGAGTGCTCTTCATCATAAAGACTATAGAGTTGCTGTTCATAGTCACCCAAGTTGCGCGATTTGGGAATGTGAACCGCGCATACCTCATAGATTGATGTGTTTTTTTTAAAAATCGAACATAGGGAAATTACATTGCATGCAAACTCCTATGTTCGCGTTTAAAAAAAACTGACTGTATATACTCAAAGCACAAACTTGTAGTCATGCACGTGCGTTAATGAACGCAACAAATTTTGGTTTTTATGTATGTAGGCAGAGGCGAGGGCAAAGGTATCTTTAAGTAGTTGGAAAATGTACAGTTTTTAATAAATAATAATAATACGCGCGTGTAAAATCGTCCGTCTGTGGCTGAAACTCTCACATGAACGTCGTGCAATTCTGTCGTGCATCTACTCCAAAATTTTCTGAAACCATCTCCGTATGTTGTTCATCAGTACGGCCGGTAGGGATTTCTCGAACAAATTTTTTTCTACATTCTGCAAGTAAATGAAGTCGGCGATGACCGAGGAGGACCTATGTTTAATGTCAGTGGCGTGCACTTATTTTGTAAGAAGAAGTGTGCAGCAATACGGAATTACTACCAAAAACATCTCATTTGGGCGAAAGAATCCAGTATTCCCATATTAATTTACTGAAGGAACTAAGTACGTTCACAAACTGACGATTGGCAGGGGGAAGAATGTTGCAAGGTGCTTCTTAAATTAGTGACACCCCACACCCTACATTGGGAAAAAGGACACAATCATCAGAAGTATATCAACTGCCACACTTAGTTTGATAGCTACCGGTCGAAGTTTGGAAGATATGAATATTTCTACAATAATTTCTCCTCAAAGGTCATATAATTCTTTGTGTCTCTGTACGACATCCACCTAGCAATGTTTTTACTGTTCTCTTCGGTCCTGTCGGATGAAGTGGTTTAAGTTTTGCCAGTAAACAACTGTAGACTTCATTTGTACCACCCGTACGTTAGTAAAGGGAGGTATTGCAGTGGGGTAAAAAATGACCTACTTTCTTGACCGAAATACACGTTTTGAAGCCCCAAGAATCCGAATCCAACAAAATCTTGAATATGTCGATCTGTCGGTCTGTACTCTCATTTCCGGCTAAACGGCGGCGGAACCCGATGGGAACCAAATTTGGTACACATATTCTTAGACCTAAAAGGGCAGAATCGCGCTACAGGTGTGCGTGCGGGTGGTATCTGTGCTAGCCACAGCAATTTTTTAAAATTTAGTTTATATACCCTTTGGATATACTCGTACTTTTCCAAAGACAAGAATAATTCCGCGCGTTGATCAACGTGCGGAGATGATTTCAGAATATTTTGACGGAGATGCACGACGTGAATGCGAGAGTTTTGACCACACACGAACGTTGTTGCACGCGCGTTCATTAACGCAGGTGCATGGCTAAAGACACGTCTTTACGTCTGTGTCCTGCTTATTAGTTAAATAGTCATAGAAATATAAACTTGTATACTTACTTGGATGCATCTATGAAGTATATTATTAGTGAAGCAATACTTAGAATAAACACTAGCACAACCTGAAACAAAAACAAAATTGTAATACTGATATAGTAATCCAAATAAAGGTGACATTTTCATTAAATATACAGGGTGTAACGGGTACGGACATTTTCTTCTAAAAGGTTGTAGGTACGTGTTTCGTTTATGATGAATTACATCTCTCAGAATCCCAAAATTTGGAGAAAACGTAAAAGAATAGAACCTAGAACCTTTGATGCATAATCAAAGATAGTACTAACGAATTCAGGTAGTCTTTCGTTGTACTCTACTCCGTTTTGCAACAATGTGACCTCTAAATTAAAGGCCCATCTCTAAATAGTATTGCAAAAAAACTTGAAAATTTGTTTCACAAAACACTGTGTTGATCGTGGATCATGGTGCGTGGCAGCGTGGCTGTTTATGGTTAATCGTTAATCTAGAAAATTAGGTATCAACAATCGAATCGACGAAAACAAGCTGCTTCGTGACCTAGCCAAATGTATGTTTAGCAAGCGACATTCAAGTTACAAGGCCATATAAATAAATGTGCTGATTCTAAAAAAATTAATAAGATAAATTAATGACAACACTTTTGTTAATACCAAGAGGAAATGCAATAAGAGTTGCAAACAAATAGGAAAGACTGGCATTGCTAATTTCGCTCAGAAGATGCTGCCATCTGCTTTTAAAGGGTTGTAACTAACCGTAAAAATAGAAAATCATACGTTCTTTAGCGTGCCGATATGCGGCCCCTCGTTCTGAGATGGCGCTAGTTAGTCGGGGAGCCCCTAGTTACGAAATGCGTTCTCTTAAATACAGTGCTCATGTGGCACCCAGTGCATCCTGGTTCAAGGTGCTCTATATCGTTTTGCTTGCAATCTGTAGCATTTTGACGCTTCCCCAGCCGAGTTTGTTTATGGTTAGAGCCTTCGACCTCGATGGGAAACGTAACGATTTAGAAACTTAAATTGCGAACGAACGAAATGCTATATAGCGATTATATTTCGAATATAACATGAAATAGAAAAAAAATAGACACAAACAATACACGACCCGCTTGATATTTACACTTTTGACGTTTGTTTTGTTTCCATGGATGACATTAAATTTAAGGAAATTTGTGATTGGAGTACAAGAAGGCGTAAGAGAAATTAATCCCTGGTCATTAATCCCTAAGGGAATAATGGATGGCATTATACCGAACAAACTATAAGTCTAATACTCACATTATATACCTATTAGTCGTAGATAAAAATTTAACAAGTTAAAAAGTAATCGTAAACGATTTACATAAAGCGCATTTCCACTTGCATTCATTTCCCATTTGTAAGATGCAGCTTCTGTTAAAATCGTAAAAAAACCGGCCACAAATATGAAAGATAGCGTTGCACATGTGCAATCCATTTTTGACGTGCTACTTCAATTTCTGTTTATAAGAAGAATTTCATTTTAATGCTTTTCTAAATAAGAAAGTTACTACTGCGCATGCGCAAAATAAAATTTTGAAACTGGCGTTACATTTTCCTTTACTCCAAGCGCCTATGTACCTATCAAATTTCATTGAAATACTTTTATAAATAAAAAAGTTTGCAATTCGGTTAAACGGCAAAAGTGTAAAATTATGGAACATGTAAAAAACGGTTTTTTGGTTTTTTTACAATAACTTTTTTAGCAATAAACGCAGAAAAAATTCCTTCCTTGGTGCAAGCCTCGACACCATAACGAACCAAATAGCGAAAAAAGTAGAACAATAGCTCTTAAGATAAAGAACTAGTAGCGTCTCAACGAACGAGCGGAAGGACGGACGGACGGACGGACAAAGTGGCTACAATAGCGCATTTTTTTAAATTTTTGTGGAAATGCGCTAAAAATTGAAAAAAATGCACCAACAAGTTGCTTGTCATTTGATTTAATTTTATCAATCAATCAATCAATTCAATTTCATGCCATTCGCTTTCGAGATATCGTGCTAGCGAACGACGGACGGACGGACACCGCAAAATCATAAATAATCATAATAATTTTTGTGGTGTTTGCAAAGCCAAAACAGTTAACAAACGGGTGCAATGTGTAAATTGCTCGATATACTACCATAAAAGTTGTGTATCAAAGTTAAAGAATGTGAATTACACTGATAATGACGAATTTAGTTGTTGTAATAGTATGGATAACGCAGAAGACCTTGATGTTAGCGAACCACAAGTAAGTGATAATTCATTGTTAACACAAATTCAATACTTAAAGGAAATTATAAAAGCTAAAGACCGTATTATCATTGAACTGAATGATAAAAATACCATTTTGAAAGACTTTCTGAAGCATCTACAATCAAATTCAAGTGCTACTGTTAACCAAGATAAGTCGACCCAAAATCGCTTTAACTACTCGAATGCCTTAACTAACAGTAATAAATCACGTCTTAAAACTACGGGTAGTTCTCTGGAAGACGAACTTTCAAGAACTAACATCCCAAAAGTTAACAAAAAACCTGACAATGCTCATTCTGTGCAACTTTTACCTACCTGCCCAGTGGCATCCACTTCCGACAAGCAATCAAAAATTCAATTGCGTGAACATAAAACTGACAACCCTACGGACGGCTATACCCTTGTTCAAAGCAAGAAACCCTCAAGAAACTCCAAATCAGTAGCAGTAGTTGGCACCAGCAGCACCTCCAAAGTGAAAGCAGTTCCAAAAAAACTTTCAATTTTTGTATCTCGCTTATTCCCGTCTACCACTGAAGAAGATATCATTAACTTCTTGCAAGATAAATTTCCTGAAGTGAGCTGTGAACAATTGACGTCAAAATATCCCGAAAGCTACTCTTCTTTTAGAGTTTTAGTCAGTGAACACAACTACGATGCAGCTACGAATCCTAGCATCTGGCCGATGGGAGCATTAGTCAAACAGTTTTTTCGAGGCAAAATTTTCGCCAAAAATTCCCAAGAAGTTGAGGAACGGACTGAAAATACTCAACCTAAATGTGCGTAGCTTAAAACGCAAAATAGACATGTTAGAGGTGTTCTTAATTTCTGTAAAAAACCCTGAGGTAGTTTGTTTAACCGAGACGTGGCTCAGTGCGGAAGAAATTGAATGTTTAAAAATCTTAAACTATAACACCATTAATTCCTTTTGTCGAAGCGACCGTCGCGGCGGCGGGACCGTAGTGTTAGTGCGTAATGACTATAAGTGTACCGTTACACCGATAAATGTTCCTATTATCAACGAAATGTCGTTTGAGGTGACCGGTGTAAAACTGGTAAATGATAATCTATCATTACTTTTATTTAGCTTATATCGACCACCTTGTAATGACGTCAGGTTGTTTATAAATCAGCTCGAAAAACTTTCACATTATTTTGTAAATAAAAATGCGCTAACCTTTATTTGTGGGGATTTTAACATCAATTTATTAGAAAAGAACGCTCAAGCCGACGACTTCATAAACACCTTCTCTTCATTTGGACTGCATCCATGCTTTCGAGAATGCTCACGTTTGCAGGGCCCCTCTAGGACATTGATTGATAATATCATTACAAATCATGATATGACTCAAATTGCTTCTCAAACTGTTGGCTGTTACCTATCTGATCACTTTGCGCAAATTATAGATGTCACTTTACCAAATCATATAAACCTATATCCAAGTACCATGACGTACACAAAAAGAAACTTTAGGAAAGACACTAATATAGCGCATTTTAAAGAGTTGTTTGCAAGCGAAAAATGGGACTCTGTATTCGCCCAGCATACCTTGGATGACAAATTTTCCAATTTTCTAGAGAAATTCCAATATTATTTGGACAAGGCATTTCCGATTGAAAGCGTGTACAAGAAGGCAACGACAGCATGTAAAACTAAACCTTGGATCACTAGGGACATCATAAATAGAGGCTCCCTTCTGCGTGAAATCTCTCTTATATGCAAACGTAGCGGTGACGCAAACTTAAAAATAAAATACAACTTACTCTACAAACACCACAAGGAACAAATTGAATCTGCAAAGAAAGAATATCACGACTCTATCTACGAGAACGCTCCAGTGAAGTCCAAATGCGCGTGGAAAATAATCTCGCAGGAAACCAAATGCCCTTCTAAGCATAGTGAATATCCGAAAGAATTCCGAGATGCCACAAACAACACTTTAGTTGGATATGCGGCCATCGCGGAGAATTTCAATACCCTTTTTATTTCCTCAGTAGAAGAGCTGTCTAGAACCACAAACCCTACAACTTCCAACATCGCTATCGGCACCAACTGTAAATACACCTTATTCTTAAAACCCATCGATGAATTAGAAACTGAGAATATTATTAGGTCAATCACCAATAAGTATTCTGCAGGAAGTGATGGAATTCCTTGTGCTATTTTGAAGCACATCACTAGCGATATTACACCCGTGCTGTGTCACCTAATAAATACATCTTTTGCAGATGGAACATTTCCAAAAGTACTAAAAACTGCAATTGTGATTCCGGTACACAAAAAAGGCGCCTCAAACGAATTTGGAAATTACCGACCCATATCTTTGCTATCTGCTTTCTCAAAAATTCTTGAGAAAGCGTTTTATGCACGATTAATGAACTTCTTACTACGCCACAAGATCCTGTATCCGCATCAATTTGGTTTCCGAAGAGGATTATCCACCCAAGATGCAGTCCTTTCATCTGTACGCTGTATCTTCCGAAATCTCGAATTAGGGAAAAAAGTCACTGGACTTTTTTTTGATTATTCTAAAGCATTTGATGTAGTAGATCAAAAACTCCTTTTACATAAACTACAACACTACGGAGTCCGGGGTATTGCTTACCAATGGATAGTTTCTTATTTAACCGGACGATCACAAATTGTCTCTATAGCGGCGGAAGGTAGTAAGTACAACTCGTCACGGAAAGAAGTGTGTATTGGTGTTCCTCAAGGAAGTACTCTAGGGCCTTTACTTTTTGTCATTTTTTTAAATAATTTAATAGACTCTTTCAACAATAACATTGAACTTCTGACTCTATTTGCGGACGACACTTCAGCGTTAATTACAGCT